TTTTAAAGGAAGATAGCATGAAATTTTCCATCAAATTCCTAAAGTCAACTTGAAACCATGAATTGCTGTTCTGCAGCAGAAATACATATATCCAATACTTTAATCCTCTGTCTATATTGTTCACATCAATATCACAGACATAGAACTACAGGATGTGGTTATAACCTTTTTGATATCTCCCCGAGGTTACAAAATGTTTCATAATAAATAGACTTGTCTGATCTCCATTCATTACATTTGATTAGCACAAACTTACATAACAGTCAACAGATCAGCTTCGCTCACAAATGTTTTTCTATAATCGCAGAATAGTCGATCATTGCGATAGTTTATGGCTTCATGTTTTGGTTTACCATTGAAAAACTGGAAAAAAACGCAGGCTTAACTCAAACATCTATTTCCAGCTTCATAGCACCTATTAAAATCTCACCACCAAATCTGCAAAGCATCCCTTGCCATCTGTTTCGCCACCAAATCTCTTTTGGTAAAAACCCTGGAAAAAATTCAGAACAGTTAAGGTGGACAAAATTTTTGTAGTGGACCCTTGGATACTAGCTTGCAAATTTCGTTACCCACATCTCGATTTTCCAGGAATTCGAAAGATAGCAGATAACGGTAACCGATGCCTGCACGCAACTCCCATTCACACCTATAAAGCGGCTATTCAGAACAGTTAGGCCGACAAGTATAAAACAAAGAGCAGCTCTCACTTGACATGCGGCAGCAATCGGCCTGGATACCCTGGAGTTGTCAACTGACCCTCTTGATCAGTGATGATTCCTCCACAAGCTGCAAAAAATTATTCTTCAAGAATATCATTACAGAGAAAAGTGCTAACTCACATTCGTTGCTGACGCGTAAAATCATCTCAAAGCCACATTTCTTATCCTTACATAGTTGTCTACCAGCTTTCTAAAATAATTAACATATCCTAGCATTAACGAACCACCTCAAGTTTTATTACCTGGATGGTTCCATTTGACCTAAACTGCACGGTCATTTCGCTACTAGCGGAGCGGTAATCGACTTTGTTTAGATATCTTCCGTTACATTGCGGTTCCAGGAGATA